TCACCTTAAACGAAATTGTGTGAATACATCTCATACTACTGATTTACTGGTAGTCACGAAAACAATACTTGACTCGAAAAATAGAGTATAGTAGTCGGTTGTTATAGCAGATATACGTTTGCTTCATCAACAATCCCACCTGGATGAGAACAAATTTTGGGAAAGCAAGGCTATGTGAAATAGAATGGGAAAATTCTGCTACTATCTAGTTTTTGTCTCTATTCTAATGCATTAATTAATAGTTTTACTTCACCGCCAATATCAACTTTTGTCCATATTTTCATAAAAGGCTGTTAAAGCAATTGTTAATTTCCTTTAATGTGCAATCAAAACTGGATTCCGTGACAAGCATCAACACATGTGTTTTGCTGCTCCGTAATCTTCAACAATACCAACTGGATTTTTTCTCGTATTACGTGCGGCCTGGTGTCAATTTATAACTCGTACAAAATGAAATGTATCACTTTTCCAACTCGTTTTGATCGCGTCATGTCTGTTTATTTAGCAATTTATTTATATTATTTAATACCTTCCACATGACTTTTGCTCATTTTAGCTTAACCTATCAAAGTGATTCACATGTTGGTTGCGACCATTTTTCAGTCTATACAGCAGAAGTGGACTCGCATTTAAGGTCACCCTTATTTCTTTAGAGACAAAAATTTATTTCTTCGCTCTATCTCCTTCAAAGTTGAGCTTTCAACCGTGAAACTAGCGAATTTGCCGATTTTCGTGCTGTTTCTATGCCAATATGTTGGTGACAATCTGTTGGTGAAGATACCAAGTGCAGGTGGTTGGTTCGGTCTCGCCGGAGGAGTAGGCGCAAAGCGAACGATGCGCAAGTTTGCCATCATTTCGCATTTCTTGAAGGCTTTTTCTCCTTTTGTCAGATGCAGCAACAGGACGAGGAGGCGCTTCTGTCTGGACTGGACGCTGGTCAGGCTGGTCTGCAGCATCGCGACGCCCGAGCCGACTACATCGTCGGCCTCGAGCTCGGCACCTCCGAGGCGGTCGCGTCCGAATCTGGTGGAACTGG